AAACCCCAGGTACACTCATGCGGGCCCCTGCCTGATGCAGCTATTCAATCCCCCAGAAGGCTGTTCTCTAAGGTCTCCACTGGGAGTGGGGCAGGAGGACCAGCTGGAGTCTTGGTCAGGCCCAGGCCCAGTTTTGTGAGGTCGGGACCCACTCCGAGCAAACTCCAGGCCCTGCTCTGCATCTCTCCATCTCTGCCCCTTTCTCCCCCAGCCCAGCCGGCACCTGAGCGGTCTCCATCAGCCCTTCTCCCCAGCCCACCCCTGCCTGCGAGCTCCTGGGGGGCACGGATCATCGGGGGCCACGAGGTGACCCCCCATTCCCGACCCTACATGGCGTCTGTGAGCTTCGAGGGCCAGCACCACTGTGGGGGCTTCCTGCTGCGGCCGCGCTGGGTCATCTCAGCTGCCCACTGCTTCAGCCACCGGTGAGCCCCGGCCCAGGTCCTCCTCCCACCCGCTCCGGGTGGGACGGGGGCTTGTGCAGAGGGAACTCTGAGCTGGGCCCATTTTACCAGACAACGGTGGGGTGGGGGCAGCAGGAGAAATACAGGAGGAGCAGCCGCTGTGCCCACGGCGCTACAACTGGCACGTTCATTGTGAGTCCGCTGTTCTGTCACCAACATTAATGCTGCAATCATTGGAGGCAAGACTACAATTAAGGTGGGGATTATAGTAAATATAAGTATAGTGAGTGTGATACTCTCAGTGTATTTTTATCAGCATTGTAATTAGCATAGCAGTGATTGGAGTTAATTCAATCATCAAGGTGGGAATGGTAACAAATGCAATGCTTATCATCTCAGCTGGCAGGAGGATTAAACGGATTTGCTCCCCCACCCCCCGCTCCCCCCATCCGGTTTCACAGATGGAGGGACACCAAGGCCCATGCTGGGCAGCCCTCACCCCAGTCTCGCTCACAGCGCTCCCTCCCCACCTGCAGAGACCCCCACATGGGCCTGGTGGTGCTGGGGGCCCACGCCCTGAACACATCAGAGGCCACACAGCAGGTGTTCAGCATCTCGGCTGCTGTCACGCATCCCGACTACCAGCCCACGACTCATGCCAGTGACATCTGTCTGCTGCAGGTGAGCTTCCTGGGGGCGGGAAGCCTGTCCCTACCACCCTGCAATGGCCTGACCTGTTTTAAAGACACCTGGAAACAGTCGGGTCACATCCCTCTGCCCTCCACGCCTCCCACGCTTTCCCCCTCGGCCCCCAGACACCCTCCTCGTTGAGCTGCCAGCATTCCCAATAGGCTCCCACCCCTGGGCCTTTTCACTGGCCGTGCCCCTCCTGGTGCACCCATCCCCAGACTCTGCGTGGCTTCCAAGTCTTTGCTCAGTTGTCACCTTCTGCTCTGCCGCATCTCCCATCTCTTCACCTAACCCCACCTCTCCGGTGTCAGCACTGCCCACTCCTGTTAGCAGCACCTGCACCACTGGCTCCATCACTGTTGTTCGCTGCCTCCTCCCAGCCTTGAGGGCAGGGATTTTGCTCTCGCTTAAGGCCAGTCATGGTACGCCACAGGTGCTCAATGTTCATGCTGAAAAAGTTGACAAATGAGACTCTAGGGCCACCAAAGACCCCACCCTCTTCCCCCTCCCCAGGCCTCTGTGTGGCTTTCCTCCCTGCCTACAGCTGTGCATCTATTTGGACCCCACGTGGCCCCTCCTGCTCAGGGGACCACCCCTCCTGCAGCTCCCATCCAGGAGCCCCAAATTCAATTTCAGGCACTCCGAGGCTTCTACTTGAAAGAGAGAACATCCCCAAACTGCTCTCAAAATGTGGTGAAAAATCAAACAGGAGAGATGATCCATAGGACAGACACGGGCCCCTGGGAACAGGACGGTCTGGGGTGCGGTGCTCTCGCAGCAAAATACAAAGAGGGCAGCGAGTGTAGGCGGCCAAAGCTCGCATGTGAAATCCCAAAGGCTGGGCCCCCTGCTCTGGTTCACCCGTCCGGTGCTGCAGAGGTGATACCGAGGCTGGGGTGATCAGGGATGTGCCTAAGGTCAGGGAGTACCCACAACAGGGGCCTGAATCATCCTTCCATAACTGTTGACTGAGCACCAGCTGTGTGCTAGGCAGCAGGGACACAGCCATGAACAAACAGCCCCCAGGCTGCCCCATGGAAACCCCCAGTCTAACAGGGTGGCAGCTGGGTAAACCAGCCTTGACAGGGGCACGTGGGAGCCCAGAGGAGGTGTCTGTTCTAGCCTGGCAGTCTGGGAAAGCTTCCTGGAGGAAGTGGTGTCTAAGCTGAAACCTGAATAGGGATGGCACTGCTGAGAGATTCGGCCTGAAGGGGTCTTCTGTTCCAGCCAAGAGATTACAGTGTTGCAGTGTGAGCAAGTGTGGCAGTGGGCTGGGGGATGGCAGTCAATTTATTCTGGCTGGAGGGGAGGGCCGAGAGGCTTTATCTTGAGGGCAACGAGGAGCTGGAGGAGGGAGGGCTTAGATCAGGGAAGACGCTTGCTAGAAAGACCCTTTGGGCAGCTGAGGGGGGTGAGCCTGGAGGCCTGGAGGCTGGGGGAGGCCGGAGTCCTGGTTTGAGGGAGATGAGGCTTGATGGGTGGGGGCCCATGGTGGCAAAAGCAGCAGGGCTCTCTAACAGCCCAGTGATGGCCACCACTGATTTCTCTCCATGAGGCCAAGAAGAGACCAGGTGTCCCAGAAAGGTAAAAAGATAGGAGTGGTGGGTGGCTGGGCGAAGTCCTAAACCCAGCCCTCTCCCTGCAGCTGAACCGCTCTGCCGTCTTGGGTCCCGCAGTGGGGCTGCTGAGGCTGCCGCGGAGGGGTGCCAGGCCTCTCAGGGCCGGGACACGGTGCAAGGTGGCCGGCTGGGGCTCCGTGTCCGACTTTGAGGAGCTGCCACCTGGGCTGATGGAGGCCGAGGTCCGCGTGCTGGGCCTGGACGTCTGCAACAGCTCCTGGAGGGGGCAGCTGAGCCCTGCCATGCTCTGCACCCGCAGTGAGGACCACCAGCGGCGCGGCTTCTGCTCGGTAAGATACTCTCTGCCTGCCTGACTCCTGTCTGGGGAAAATGAGGTCCACAGAGAGGATCAGAGCTGGGCAGAGCCTTGGGGGCTAAGTCCCAGCTCACTTGTGACCAGGTGGGCCTTGCCCGAGGCCATGGAAGGCCAGCGACTTGCCCAGGGTCATAAGGCTGCCATGTATGGCTGTGCAGGTTGCGCATTGCACAAATTGCTATCAATTTGTGTATTTAAAAGCAGTGTTCAGTAGGAGGCAATAACAGATCTCAAGGAAGAAACTCCTGCTTCTAAGACCCTGTATGTATTAATGGCAAATTTGGCCCTGGTGTGGACAGAGAAACTCAGCTGGGGGTGGGGGGGTCTTCTGTTCCAGCCAACAGAGTACAGTGGTTCAGATTCTGGAGCCCAGCTTCCTGGGTCTAAATTCAGACTGAGCCACTTCCTAGATGTGCGGTCTAGGAAAAGTCACCTCATTTCTCAGGACCTCACTTTCTCCATCTGTAAAACTGCCACACTAATAGTACCTGCTTCACAGGTTCAGAGCTGATTCCAGATGACAATTAGGAAAATAGGTCTGGGGAAGTGAAGGGAGAGAAGAAAGCAGGGATTTCAGGGTGAGTATTCAGGGAGGCCTCTCTGAGGAGGGCTCCTTTGAGCTGAGACTTGGAGGAGCCTTGAGAAGATCTGAGGGAAGGCATGCCAGGCAGAGAGACCAGTCACAGGGTTGCCGTGGACAGCTGTGCAGGTCGTGCACTGCACAGGGTGCTGCAGCCTTATGTACCTATACCAGTGGTGTCCAGGAGGGGGCAGTAACAGGCCTCAAGGATATGCAAAAGCCTAGAGATCGGAGTGAGCTTGGTTTGCTGCAGGTACAGCAAGGCAGGCTGGCACGGCTGGAACCAAGTGAGAGGGGGAGAGGAGGGCAGACAGGTGTGTAGGGGCTGGATCTTCAAGGCCTTGAGGGCTGCAGTGAGGAGTTTAGTCTTTCCTGTAAGAGCACTAGGGAGTCACGGAAGGGTTTTGAGGCAAGGAGGATCCTGATCAGACTTACACGTATCAGCTCCTTCAAGGAAAGTGAAGTCTAGAGAGGGACCCTGACCTCACCTTGGCCTTCTCTTCCAGGCGGACTCTGGGGGACCCCTGGTGTGCAGAAATCGGGCTCACGGACTTGTCTCCTTCTCTGGCCTCTGGTGCGGCGACCCCAAGACCCCCGACGTGTACACGCAAGTGTCGGCCTTCGTGACCTGGATCTGGGATGTGGTTCAACAGGGCTCGCATGGCCGCTAGCCCAGCCCTGACCCAGGACCACCTGGGTCCCTGCAGGAGTGGCCTGAACCACAGCAGCACTGAGTACACGAATGAGAGGGCTAATGATGCAAATAGCTCTGGCCTGGAAAATTCCATGGCTGGGGCAGAGGGTCCATGGGGTCCGCAAACCCTGGGAAGCCTGGTGGTGGTGGGGCGAGTCGGGAGGGCATCAGTTCCAAACAAAAAGGGCAAGATAACCAAATAAAATGTCAACTAACTAACCAGACGTCATGGTCTTCCTCCCGGGCCCACCCATATTCCTCCAAGCCTCTCCTTGGCCTCCATGTGGCCTAGGGTCCTATTCTGCCACTCCCTCCCTGAGAGACCTTGAGCCACAGGACCTGGGGCCCCTCCATCCTCCCATGCCTCTGTTTCTGGACCCTAAGCCAGGTGGCTTCCTGGGCTGCCCTCAGTCATCTTGACCTCCCTTTCCCTCCCCGGCCCCATGAGGTGAGGACCCTCTCCACTACTTGTCTCCCCCTCCCCCAGCTCTGCCCACTGCCTGAGGGCAGGCACTGAGTCCCAGGGACTGGTAGCAGCTGTCCCAAGGACATATGCCCATGTCACTCCTCTGGATGTTTCCAGAAACCCCATGCAACACCCTAATGGCACCCCAGGCCCCTGGCTGGTAACCCCCTACCAAAGTGGGGCACACAGAGTCTCAGAGAGAGGGGCAAACCAAGGCCTGGACACCCAAAGTGACTTTTTCAGTGTTTATTCCTTTGGCAGGCGAGGCAGGACCCCAGGGCAGGGGAGGTTGCCTTGTCGGGCGGCTCGGGTGAACCCGCTACTCAAGGGCACTTTTCTGGGTGTCACAGGTAAGGCACTTCCTGGAAGCTGGGAGGATGAGCACCGCTGCCCCCCTGCCCTCGCTCCAAACTTGAGGAGCTTGGCACCCCCCTCCTGTCTGAGCACCTAGTCTACACACAGGCACAGGCAGGGGATGCAGCAAGAGCCCAGGTTATCGGATGGAGCGAACTGGATGGAGTAAATCGGCCCAACGCCAGCATCCAGCTGGCAGGCAGGGAGGGTCCTGGGAACTGGGCCTAGAGGCCTGGCCAGGGCAGGACACGAGGGACTGAGGGGTCCTAGGTCTGGACCACATCTGTGGACAGGGCAGCAGGCACTGGGGATGCCCCTTGGACACACTGCTCCAGGGTGCCGGGTGTGCAGTGGATCTTGTCATCTACACCCTACCCTGGGCCAGTGGGTGAGCAGGGGCTTGTAGGCCCCACCAGGTTCCACGCCAAGAGAACTGGGCACCGCTGGACATGATGCCCTGCTTTGGGTGGATGCTGGCTGCTTCACGACCAAGGCCTGTGTCAGGAGGCACAGACAGTGCCCCTGGCCCTGGGATCAAGCTAGATTTCTCTCAGGGGACTTCACAGGACATATGGGGGAATTGGAGGCAGGGGGAAGGTAAGCCCCTTGGGTACCCTTGGGCTGGTGGGGGACAGTGGTTGCTTCCTTGGCCTGTCTGGGGGATCTGGGCATGCTCAGCTACACACACCCAGGCTGTGAATCACCTCCTCACCCCCTGGTCCCTGTTCTAGAAGGCCAGGGTGCTGCTTCATTAACTGCTGGCAGGGAATCCCCAGCCCTCTTGGTGGCAGTGATAATTAACAGAGTTACCCCCAAGGGAGTAGAAGTGTGGGATCCGGGGGCCTGGGGTGAGGCCCCTCCCACCAGCCCTGCTCCCAGGCCTCTTTCCCTCAATTCTTCCAAGTGTCGTCAAGTGGGGAGGGCGGGCACCAGGGCTTCCGAAATGGTCGCGGTCCAGGCTCTGGGACGTGTCCGTGGGACATAAATTAGACTCTGCTGTGGCAATAAATAAAACGGGAAAGCCTTGAACGCCAGGCCCAGGCCGGCCCCACGGGCTCACACAAAGTTCTCCTCCTCCTCCTCCGACTCGGCATCTAACTGCTCGGGGGTGCCTGCAGAACGGGAGGGATGAAAAGTGAAACGGGGGCGCGGAGAGGCGCTGGGGGCTAGACTCCGCCATTGCTCCCCGCCCCGTGCCGCACCTGCACAGCTGCCCGGGTGGCGCACGCCAATGGAGCGGCCCAGGAAGCAGGTGGCTTGGCGGAGGTGGCACGAGGACATATAGGTGACGTTGTTGTTGCCACAGAGCTCCTGGCCAGGGCTGGAGGGCGCGGGGCAGGGCGCCGCGCGACACACCACGCAGTGTGCGCTGCCCGTCTGGTCTACCACACATGACTGTGGCCGCAGGCACACCACGTGCGCACACGATTCTGTGGGGGGGGGGGCGCCGGGGCGAGTCAAGGTCCGGGCTCGGCCCCAGGCACCACCCCCGCTGCGACCCCGCCCACACCAGGTCCCCCTCTCAGACCCGCCCCCCTGGTTGCACCAGATCCCCTGCGCGAGCCACGCCTACACCCTCAAGATCCACCATCAGTCCTCCGCTCCCTCTGACTGCACCAACAAGCCCCTTCGAGACACCTATATCTCTCGCCCCATGAGGCCCAGAACCCCCCTTTCCAAACCTGAACCCGACTCTTCCTCATTCCCGACCCCACAAAAGACCTAATGCAGCTGTACACCAGAAGTTGATACAACATTGTAAACTGACTATACGTCAATTAAAAAAAAAGACCTAATCCAGTGACACTGTCTTGGAAGTACAGACTCCCTTTGCTAGGCTCCGCCCACGCGCTCGGCACCTAGGCGCCGCCTACCGTAAGCCCCGCCCAAATCAGCGAGACCTATCATAGGCCCCTGGGCTGTAGACATCGCCCCCTTCCTGCCAAGGCCCCCGCCCCCACGCACTGCGGCAGCATCG